GCTAAGACTGTCCTAATAGATTCATTAACTAAGAATTGTTCAAATTGTTTGTAGATATAATCATTAGCTATATCTGCAGTGTATACATCTCAAGGGTTAGGGTAAAGGATCAGCTTCTAGATCTATGGTTCTGGTCATAAGAAGAACAGTTGTCAAAATGATATCTATCATGAGATTAACTTCTGTTTCTGGATCTGTTTTTTCAATCATAATCTCTGTTTCTGAATCTATCTCTATTGCAAGATCTGGATCTGTTATAGAATCTGTTATTCCTAGAAGAGTATCTATTATCTTGGCTAGAGAATCGATAATCACATGAATTTTTTCTATTATCCTCTCTTTATATACAGCAATCCCTAATAAAATGTTTTCAGTTACCACAGTAATAGCAAGTATTGTCTCGAGAATTATTATTAGGGCAGTGTTATTTATTATCTGATTATTTTTTATCAGAGACTTACCCCCTCCTCCCTTTTAATATAAAAAAAAATCAGATTCTTATATATAATTTTAACTTTTTTTACCCCCTCCCTCCCTAAAAAATTACCTGATTTTTGTCATATCCTTTATTGTTATTATTATTATCTCAGTAAGAGGAGTTGTTATTTTCTAAATAATAGACAAAAGTAACAAGTTGTTTTTTAGCAAAGTTGATATTGAGCTTGGCAATTTGTTTGGTAAGGCAGACAATAGCTTGGTTATTTCTATTACCATTAGTATTATTTTTAGAGACCATAACTCTCTTCTATAGTATAGTTCAAATCATTAGATTCAGCAGTCTGTATATTTATAGTATATTCTGGTCACAATTCTTGAATAAAGAATTGAACTATCATGACTCCAGGGATATCATTATCAGAATCTACTCGAAGTTGAAGTTGCTTAAAACGACTAATATAGGTATCAACTGTGTCTATTCCTTGTTTTATTTTAAAAAGCTGTTTTTGCCAAGTAGCTTTTTGTCTAGTAATACTAAATTTTGCTTTAAACAGATAGGTAAAGCTTCAAATACAGTTGCTATTTACCATTTGGCATGTTGAGCATAATAATAGTGAGTAGGAGTATTGGCAAGACTAGTAAACTATTCTTGAACATTATCCTTCATATATGCAGCAGCTAGCTGAAATGTAGTATAGGTTACCCTTTTTACCAGCATTATATCAATTTTGGCCGGAATTATACTAATTTTTGGCCGGAATTATCACAGGGGGACCCACATGTATATATATATATAATACTATTATATACTTTTTTTTTATACAATTTTTAGATATATACCCTATTTTTGGGGTATATACCCTATTTTTTAGAGTATATTTTATGTTACATGACCTTTATTTTTAGGGTCTAGGGTGCTTTTTTGTATAAACTAGACCAGACAGGGTCATATAGAGTATGCATCTTTTTTTTTTAGAATATATACCCCAATTTTTAGGATACATACTCTAAATTTTAGGGTAGGGGTAAGCTATAATGCATTTTTAGCCATAGCAGCTAATTCTAGTTGTCGAGCAGGGCTTTAGTAGTTGGCTTTGGCAGCATAGTCAAATTCTTCTAACCAAATTATAGGGTCTTGGGTTCTATCACCACAATAAAATTCTATTTTAATAAGAAACTTTTCACTACCATGTCCCAAAGCAGCAGTGATAGCAGTTATTGCTTCAGCAACGGCTCTAAATACAGTGTCAACTATATTTTCTTCTTGTTCTGATTCTTCGTTAGCTATAGTAGAATTTGTTTTAGCATCAGAAGCTTGGTTATTAACTTCTTCTTGTTCTTCTTCTGGTATTTTAACAATAAGATGAGGTTCTTGGTTAGAAGGTTCTTCTGAGATTAGTGCAATAGGGAGTTGTTGTAGTTGAGGAGGAGTATTTAAAAGAGTAGTATTAAGATCTAAATTAGCTTGGAGATAAGCTCCAGGTGCAAGAGGAGGGTTAGTAATATTAGTAGATGTGTTAGTAGGTATAATATAATTAAGAAATTGAGCGAATGGGTGAGGTTGGGCTTAAGAAGGGTTAGTTGCAGTATGAGAAGGAGTAAGAGTAAATTCTAAATTGATATCAGCAAAGAGGGATTAGAAGTATTAATTCGAGAAAGAAATTGAATTTGAATAGTATTTTTGTCATAGTCAGGAAAAACAAAGATAGATTAAGTAAAGTTATTTTTTATTTTCTCAGATTGTAAAGGGTTAACAGAATATGAGTCAGATAAGGCTGCAAAATCAGAAGGGTTAACTTCACTTCAGGAGGTTGAAGCTAGCTTCAGTAGGGTTAGTAGTAGGGTTTAATTAAGGAGAATAATCAGAGTTTTCAATATAAAGATCAAAATCATTGGCAGGGAAATTTGGAGGTAAATAAGAGACAAGTCGATGTCTAGTATAATTAGCTAAGAGAGTAGCTACTACATGTTGGGAATTATTAAATAGAGTTCAATATTGACAACTAAAAATAATGTTTCTGACTAAAGCTCAGGCAGAACTATAGTTAGAGTAACTTCTTAATTCAAAATGAGCTGTGACTATTATCTGGGTATAAGAAGTTGTAGCAAAAGCTTGTTGATACTACAACCAAAAACTATGAAAAGCATGATGATATTGGGTAGCAGTAAAACACTATCAACAAGATTCGTTAAGAGCGAGTATTTGAAGAGTATCATTTACAAGTTTATTTTTTTAGTATGCTAGTTCATGTTTTCATATATGTTCCAAATGCAATTGGTAGGCTCAATATATATAATGCTGTGAGCAATTCTTGGGTTGTAATATTTAAGAGTCATTTGGTTCTAATTATATTTAAAAATCTAATCCTGGGTAGAATTACTTATATCTACACTTTGGCTCGTGGGTAATTCACACTTAATCCTTAATTAAGGTTCGCAATAAGCTGCTAGCTCTATAGTTGCTATGAAAGCAGAGGTTTCTAGTATGCCCTTTTGAGCAAATCTCTTTCAATTTGTTAAGACTTCTAATGGTTGCTATAAAAGCAGAGACTTTAAGTATACCCTTCTGATTAAATCTCTTTCAATTTGTCAGGACTTTTAAAAAAAACTATCACTATTCTAGTAATAGCAAGGGAAGAGGAGAGTTGTAAATAAATATCCTTTCACAGGTTGATCCGGCAAGAAGTCCTTTCTAAGAGAGAAAAGGTTTCTTTTAAAGAGCAAAAATTTTTAATTCCAAGAGGCAAGATTTTTCTTGTAAATTAGCAAAATTTTCTGTTTCAGATAAGAATTTTTCTTTTCTGCCAGGAAGCACCAAATTGTTACAAGTGAACTGTAGCTTTCTTAATATAGTACAAGTAACAAAACACATAGCTATAGAGCTCTGTTGTGAGATTATAGTGGTATAGAAATAGAATATAACTTCACTAAAAGCAGTTCATAGAAAGTGTATATTTTAAAGAAAGATATATTTTATTTACAATATAAGACTTTAATTAAAAGATATAATATTTCTACAACTAAAGAGTGTCTGTATCTAGAGAGAGTATCTGAGTCTTATCTGGCAGGAAGGAGAAAAACCAGGTTTATATATCTTTTTTCTAAACTAATAAAACTAATACAAATAATAAGAAATAGT